GTATGACAAGACCGCAAAAAAAAAAAAAAAAATGAAATTCCTCACCACATCTTTGCTGCTCACAGCCTTCGGGTCACTGAGGTGAGTTTTGAGAACGCTGCACGCAGCCAGCATCTTCTCACTTAGCTCATACCTTTTGGAGAGACGTTAAACACAAACAAACATTATTTTAACATTTAAATAGCTTTACTCCCCATGTGCTGCATTTAATTTGCTCTTTATTTTACCACTGGTACATAACAAAATTTGACATGATTGCATCCCACATTAATGTGACTGTGTAGAAATTATTTTAACTTGTTTAGACACTATATGTATAAATTATCATTATTATTCAGCTAGTTAAATAAACCTCAAACGCCACTGATGCACCCTGGGTAGAAACTGTATGCAGGTAATGAGTATCTGTTGTTTACACATGTATTTTATTTTCTTTATTTGTCGTTTAGAAAGTAAGCATGGCTCCTGTTTGTGCTCTTTCTTGTGTATAAAACCAAAAACTGATCGTCCCGATACGCTGTAATCCTAAGCCTACAGACCTGTATAAACCTGACGTGCGTACAGTCCTGCCAAATTCTTAAAAATCAGAGCATTACAGAGAAATCTAAAATAAAACACCAATAAATATCTAGGATAAATTAAACTCTCAGAATACATCACGTCTGTACCCTCACACAGCTTCCTGCTCACTCAGAACATTTTAGTAAACTAAAATGGGATTTAGTTTTTTTAACCCACCTCTCTCTCTTTTCCTTATCTGAACTTTCCTCTTCATCCTTCTTATCCACATCCTCGGCTCCCTCAGGCTGGAACTCCTCCCTGGTGCGCCCTCCCTCCACGTTCTTATAGTCCTCCTTTCCTCCGTACTCCTTCTCTTCATCCTCTTCCTCCTCCGACCCAGAGGAGCTGCTGTCCTCCGAGCTGGAGTCGTCACTCGATGTAGTCTCGTACCTGGGCCACAAGGGGGCGACAAACGCACAGAAAGTTGAAGACTGAAGAAGGTGTTAGCTTAAAAAAAAAAAAATGCTGCCATCATGTTCTCCTCCACAAAGCCATGTGGATGTTAACAAGCCCACGTTTCAGAGGAAAGAACATCAATGGCCTTGTAAATGTGAAACAGCAGCACCTTTAACCTCACTTGGGATTCTTAAAAACTCACCACGATAAAAGCATCCAACGGCCATCTTAAAATGCACAGTAAAAGATAATCTACTAAAATATTAATGACGGCGATTAAACACAAGTTCAAACAGGAGAACCTCACCCTCCGTTCACCCCGACAAACTGCAGGTTCTTCTTGGTGCCATTAGAGTCGGGTCGGCCATCTTTCTTCTTCATGATGGATTTCAGCGTGTTCTGGCTGCACGGCTGCCCTGCAGGAGACAGAAGTGAACACAGCAGGATCATTTAGACGAGAAGATCAACACTAAAGTGAAATCTGGAGTGTACTGATCCTAAAAAGACAGACAAAGTTTCTTTTCGTTTTAAAATGTTGATTACTTCTATGGTGAAACAGCTGCAGATTTAGTTAAATATAAACTCATTTTCATCTCATTTTATTCTATAATTCTCCTTTTAAAAAAAATCTCTCTTCTCCTGCAACATTCAAAGTATCCTGCAGATACCGTAACTGCAACTCCACTTAACAAGCCTGGGTCAGTTCATCACAAATGGCTGATAACGCCTGAATGAGCCACTAAAGTGGACTCTGACGTGATCAACAGCTTTGGCAGAGAGGAAAGTAGCCATTAAGAGTCCGTCTCATGTTCTTTCCAACACAATCTGTCAGCGAGGCGTTGGAAGTTTCCCCAAACCCTGAACTATCTCAGTCATTTTAAATACAGGCCTCGGAAACCAAAATACCAGCCGAGAGCCAGAACACTCAGCACATGTGCCAAGACTTGCCCCGATGGAGGGGCCTCTTTCACTGCTCCGGGGGACAGCTGAGAAAGAGAGAGCGTGTGTTCATGTATCGGCATGTATGCAGTTCCATGTGTGTATACATTGCAGTGTGTCCGCTCAGTAGCAACAGAGTCATTCAGCACGTTTCCCGTGTTTTGACAGGTGGGAGCGGCTGCAGCTCATCAGGAGGAATCCAGGCTGCTGATAATGATGATAATGTTGTTGTTTGTGGCCATGTTCATCCTGCTGCCTGGTTCATATATAACGTATGTGTGAAACCCATGAGGACAAAGGCATTCAGGTGAAGCTACAGACGTATTTTAGATATAAATAACCATGAAAATCGGCTATTTCTAAACCAACTGTAATATTGTTTCTGTGTTTAGAGAATGCATTTTTAACAAGCTTTCCAAAGCCTCGTGATCTGGTCAGATAACCATCACTTTCTTTTTGCAAAAACATCAGATTTACCCGCTAACAACCTCCATTGTGTGTTGTTCTTTTTTTGGCTCTGTGCACCAGAACACAGGATTTGGAAATCTAACAATGAGCAATTTTGCGATAATGCAGCCGGACAATTATCCTGAAGAGGTTTGTTATGGCCAAATAATGGTCATAAAAACATCAGACATCTGATCTCGATCCAACCGATCATGTGTTTCACTGCTGAGGACCAGACTGAGGATTACTACGGTACAGGCCTGGGAGCATGTCTCCTCTAGCTGACCATACTTGATGGAAACCATTTTGAACTTCATTTTTGTAACTTTATGATATATCTGTATTATTTTGTTTGTGATGAGATTATTGCAGATGGGGTGTAGCACTAGTTGAACTCCTGCGCTTGTATACACTGTCCAACAGATTTGAATTTCTGCCGAATCAGCTATCCAAACGTGTGTTGAAACATTGGTCTGTTTGCACTACACTAAAGTCCTTTAGGTGTAAAGTCCTTTCCCCCCTGCTCATGTCTGTGGATCTGAACCACAGACATGAGCAGCTGAGTAAAACAAATCTGACACCAAATAAATGACTTCAATTTCTTTCTGTCCTCCATATATTGTATAAAACTGCAGCACAGGGTTTTGTATTTGATATGTGGATGAGAACATTATTATACGTAACTCATTATTTCATTTCAGTTCTAACGTAGTGCAGAGCCAGCACAACAGCAAATAAACCTACTATCCCTGCACTGACTGCAGTCTGTCTATTAGGAGCTTTAATTGTGGCTTCCAATCAGCTGCTTTTCTCATTTAGTTTTCTTTGCTGTAACAAGTTCCTTCACCATATTGAAGTGCCAGCTTTTGTTGAAGGGTTCATTACTGAACTGACCTACATCCTCAAAGCAGGACTCTCTTTCTTGATTTACAGGTTGACATTTTCACAGAGCGAGATCCTTAATGGACATCGGTGATGGAGCCAAACGGGATTGTAAAGAATAACGTGTGACACAACAGCAGCAGCAGCAGCAGCATGTGCAGTGGTGGTGTGTTGATATAAAGACAGGTGTGTGAAGGCAGCCGTACCATGCAGCGCTGTAGACATCTGCAGGTCCATACGGCTTTTCTGCTCAGCTGTCCTGATCTGCTGCTGCTGCGCAGGAACGTTGGCTGGTTTATCTGCAGGAGTCAGGCCTGATACAGTCTTCTCCATCTGCAACCGCTCTGTCCGGACAGACCGCGACTGGGCGCAGAGCTGCTGACTGCTCTCTAAAAAGGAGGAGAGGCAGACCAAAGTCAGTATCCAAATGCACAGGTGGGGCAGGGCAGTTAAGCGTTTAAAGTTTAGTACCATTTTTTTAAAAAAAAGGTACCATGTGGAGTTTGTGACCCCTAGAGGTGCTCTGTAGAAATGTTATAATGAGCCTGTTGAGTTTAAAAGTGAAAGGATAGACACGCATACTACAAGGATTTGCGTTTCCCACCCTTTTCTTTTCCTCACAGATTTGAACAGGGCGGTGTTCAGTTAGTAAAAGGTGATGTCATGTATTTTCCGTGCACCAATGAGAGTTCTGAATCAAACGTGACGACAGTTGTGGGTTTGTTTGAAGGTTTTGTCAACTTAACTTTGATAGAACTATACCCACATACTGATGAAGCAGATTAGCTGATTTCCAAATAGATAATAACTTTGATTGTTGCTTTTTTAATCATGAAAATATAGTACAATATAGTATAATTTAAGTACATTTCTATACATTTCAGCACATTTGTATCCTAAAATATTTATCAGTTAGGCCAATAAAGAATTAGTTTTTAGAATCCTCTAACTTCTGATGGAAAATCATCTACAACCTGCATGTCAACGCAACCAATGTTTTGGTAAATAAAGCTGGTATTTATATCAATGTGTGGCCAAGATGAGAGGGGCTGACTTTCATGCAATTTCACAGACAGTTTGTGGCAGGAATGCCTTAATAAAAGAGTAAAAACACAGCTACCTGATGTAAACAATTAAGGTTTCAAAACATAAATATAAGAAATTTAAGAAGTTTTTCCAGGCATTAATGGTACAAATACACGACGCAATCTGGTAAGTTAAAGTAAATGTACACAAAATCCTGCTTGCAACAGGTAGGACCGAAACTCCACACTGTACCTTCAACTACACCTAATCAACACTTAAGAAATATCAACAAGGATTCAGTGCAGAACAAAATGCTTTAAACTGCCAGACATATTTTTAATGGAGCTGGCAAGTTATTGCGCGTTTGTCGCCGTTACATCTTCAAGTTCTTGACACTGCCATCAGCGTCTTAACAGACTCTTTTTCACTCTTAGGTTATTGTGATCAGAGATGGTGATTACCCTGATGTTAGTTACATGAACAGGACCTACATCTGGTTAGTTATTCTACATTCCTAAAGAGGCCAGCAACTGACCAGAAACATGCTCGCTCGCACACAACTCAGACAATCGCCTCTGCATTCATGTGCCAGCCAGCATGAATGCAGGTTATGTAACGCCGAAGGAGCCATGAATCAGCATCAGCGGTGAGGTGCTAGTGAAGGCAGGGCGACCCACAAAAAACAACAAGTGGCCCATTGGTGCGACGTTACTGGTTCCCAAAAAGAAATGAGCTCATTGTTGGTTCACGTCCAAAGCCCCTGCCACATTTTTCAGGGTCAGAGATAACTTTGGCCTGTCTGATCCTATCAGGATTCTCTTTAGACAGTGTGTGAACCCTCTACCCACCACAACCCCCGCCCCCCACTCCAGCCTAGATCCTCTACAGAACAGCTGAAACTGTGCTGGCATTCAGTCCTACGCTACATCTTACTTTGTCACTACATTACTTCTACATCATCACTCTAGTTTCATTGTCCTTTGAACAGCCTCGCAAAATTGCAATGGATTTATTTTACATTTAATAAAATAAAAAGGCCAGCTCCATCATCTTTTACTCTTTGTTATAGTTACTACAATAATTTTTTCCCCAAAAGAATTTAGGAAAATCCCAATGTACCTGCATCCCTCAAAACAAGCAAAGCAAAAGTACTTCTTTAACAATGAATCATTGAAATAATCTATAGAATAATATAATCGTTTGTTGTATCCCTAATCTCAGTCATGACAGCAAAAGTTACTCACAAGATCACTTCCTCTTAAGTGATTGTGCCTCCAAAATAAATTGGATTCCCCTGAATTTCCTCAGGGAAATGAAAATTAGTGTCCATAGGTTTTTTTAATGTGGATCAAACGCCGGGAAGCATACGCTTTATTGCAAGCATGGGAAAAAGAAAGTGTCCTTATAGGCTAACCCCAATTCTGTGTTTAATGTCAGTTTTTATTATCTTTTTCCATTATATTACAAAATAAATGAAGTGAATTCCTAATTCTGTGGGTTCTCATCTACATTTTGTAAATGTCATGATTTACATCCTTACATTTTTCTGCTTGTGGTTTAGTTGGTTTCAGCTATTTATCAGCATTCTGCTGAAAGGTACCCTGAGTTATTGGCCTCTAGTAGTGCTATGTAGCAGTTTCTTTCTCCCATTTGATTTGTGCACGAGGATGCACGCACATTTGTGATGTGTGGCTCAAAAAATATTCCTGGTGGTTTTACATTATTCCACTGATTGACAGGTTGCGTTAATTTGTCAAGAAATGCACAAAAATGCCACAAGAACACGATGACGACTGCAAGCTACTAAATATGGAATATGTGAACAATGCAGGATTTAAATACTTACATTATAACATTTCATTGGTTTGTTTACAAGGAAACTCCAGGGTGAACGTTAAGTGCCACATTCTTAAAACTCTGAGGTACTTACCTGACTGCTAAGAGCATAATTGAGGTGTTTTTACCCAGGAGTAATTGTTCTGGCCCCAAAGACATTTAATTTGTAATTACCAAAACAGAAATTACTATAGCTATCCATCTCTATCTATCTCAAACCCTCTCTTCAGTGTGCTCTCAGGCACTAAATACGTGACTGGCTGCTTGCCAGGTATTTAGCTTGAGCAAGATACTATGCGTGTGTGTCTGTGTGTACATTTTCTGTTGTCTGCCCTTGAAACTATGCTTTTATTGCCTGGCATGACTTTCAGCCAGTTATCACATGAACCATTTGTTTTCGCAACACATGTGAGCACGTGGAACCATCAGCATCGTCGGTGCTGGATGTGGCAGACTTCTCACCTTTGTTTGAGTTCACAGAGTCTGACTGCAGCTTGAGGAAGTCCTCGGTGCTTCCGTACTTCATGACCGTGTTGATGGACGACAGCGTGCTGACCAGCTGACTGTTGATGGATCCAAACTGAGACTGGGGCTGACCAAACGCTTCTGCAAGCTCGCTGTAGTTGTCTGCTAGCAGCATCTGTTGCTCCTGCAGCAGCTTCTGCACCCTCTCGATGTAATGGTCCAGTCCGGCGCCCCCCTGGGCCCGAGCTTGCAGTGGTGCAGCCCCAGTCTTACCCTCCACAGTCTCTTTGCTGCTGCTCGAGAAAGATTCATTTGGCTGAGAGGGGCCGCATGCTATGTTCCTGGTTTTTAAGCCAATCAAGAAGTTCTCATGGATGCTAACTGGTCCCACACCACATTCTTTGGTTTTAGTAGAGCTCTCTTTGCCAAAGAATGACTCTACATCTGTGGTGGTTCCAACGGCAATCGAACGCATATTTGCTGTTGAGTGAACATCTTTCACAAGACCTTCTCCAGCAGCAACCGTCCTCGTTTCAGTCACAGCCGTGTTGGTGTGCTTGTTACAAGTGATAAACACCATGTCAGTGAAAGAGTCAGTCAGGACAGCTGTTTTTGTGTTGGTGGATTTGCTCACAACCTCTATCTCAGTATTGGTCTGTTGAGTTTCTGACTCAGGAGCAGCCATGACACCAGAGTCCACTTTGCTGACCGAATCTGGGTCAGTTCCTTGGGATACCAGCTTCTTGAGTGGACTGACGGTCACATCCACTGAACAATCTCCGCAGCCAACTGATCTAGACTCTTTGCTCAACTCAGTCATAGGTTTGCAGAGAGCCAAGCTGTCTACTGACTCCTCTGTGTTAACTCCCACCTCACAAACATTCAGCTCCATGCCTACCTGCTGGTGACATATCTCCACCCGTCTCCCTACACACTGGTCATTTACCTCCACACGCTCATGCACCACCCATCGGTCCATGGGGATCTCTGGGCCTGTGGAAACACTCTGCACACTGGGTTGGCAGGAAACTCCTATAGTGTGGCTTTGTAGAGTTTTAGCTGTGTTAGCATGGCTCAATTCCAGATGATCACCCACTCCCTGGCTGCGCATCTGGACTTTGGCCTCCACACAGGCGTTGTACATCTCAGGCCTGGCCATCAAACCTTTGTCCGCCTTTTTCTTGTTCGACCCGCCGGCTGCTTGGAGCTCCAGTTTTAGCTTTCCCATTTCTATTTGGTGAGTAGTTTCTTTCAGCTGCACCTCCAAGCGGTAGATCTTCTCCTTCAGTGCTTCGATGGTCTGCTGCTGGAGCTCAATCTCTTTCTCAGCCTCAGTGGTCATGCCCAGCATGGCCTCGGTCACGCCAACCGCCGCGCTGCGCACTTCCTGCCGCCCTGTCGATACTCCTGCGTCCCGGAAACAACGTTCATTTGTCAGCTTTTTGTGAGTGACAGGAAGGTTGTTCATGTTTTCATCAGTAACTATACCAATGGACCTTTGGTGGTCCTGGTTCTGTCTGAGCTTATGAGGCTGAATTTCTGTGATATTACTGTCCTGGGTTGTCTTCTCCAGAGCTTGGACGTCAGCTGCCAGACGTCTGAACTCCTCAAGCCGTTGAGCGCTCTGCTCCTGGGCTTCAGGCTCCATGATGTGCAGCTCCGTTTCCTTTTGGATGGGGCTCGGGTTCTCCATTTGGTCAGCACTGCCTACACTGTAGGAACGCTTGCGGAAGGCACCAGGACCTTGATTTTTGGACTGAGCAGCCAATTGTCTTTTCTCTTCCTGAAGAACAGCAATCTTAACCTGTAAGATGGGAATGGTTTTCACCTGCTCCTCCAGCTCTTTCAGCTTCTTAAGGGCCACAACCATCTGCTCCCGAATTTGTTGAAGGTGTAACGGGCTGACATTTGTCACAGGCGTAGCCATGCCAGAGCTCATGGGGCTGTGGCGGATGGAGCTGCCCATGGATGGCGGGTAGTAGGGGTTATACTCTCCATTGAGGAGGTGGCCGTTGGGAGGCTGATTGGTGCTGGGAGAGATCTGGCTTGGGGCCATGGAGCCTGAATAAGAGGACAGAGAGCTGCTGGAGCCCATGCCACCAAAGCTGGCGAGACGGCGGCGGGGCATCGGAGGCTCGCTGTGCGGCTGCATGAGCAGACGCTCTTGTTCGAGCCTAAGACGAGTCTCCATGAGGGTCCTCTCCACTTGCGGGTTGTGACGTGGGGCAAACCTGGGCGAAGGAGGTGGCAGGAGCTGCTTCTGCTCTGCAATGCTCAAGTAGGATTGTTGCTGTGGGACTTCACAGGTTGCCCTGGAGAGGGTGGGGGTCAGCGGAGCAGTGCCCTGGGGCCTGGAGTTGAAGAAGACTGGGGACTGCTTGTCGTCGCTGTTGGAAGAGGACAGAGAGTCTGTGGAGGTCCATTCAGCCTGAGTGCTTCCCCCGCCAGTGCTGCCCCGAGGCACGGACAAGGGTTTGGCCACTTTGGGCTTCCTCTGGATACTCAGCTTCCTAATGGTGTTACCCCTCTCAATGTCATCGACATATTTGAGGAAGTCCAGGTCTAGCTGATAGCCATAGGGAGTTTCAACATAGTAGGGTGCCACAGAGTCCTTCTCATCTTCTGTGCTTGGGCATCTTTGTCCTTTTTCTGAAACAGAGACCACCAAAAACATAATATTAGTTTGGATTTTAGTGTTTTTGTAAGACCAAAAAAACAGAAAACCTACATACATGCTACATTATTCGCTTCAAATGTAACATGAACTTGTAAATAAGCTACCACTTGTACTTAAAAGGATGCATTTGTTGCCAAAAACAGCTTGACTGTCAGTTAAAGTGTTTCCTCAGCCCCTGACAATCGCTGTAATTTGAAAGTGCAAGTAAAAACATGTCTCAAGTTTCTCGTATCTCTGTTGAAAAGGCATGAGTGATTATCATTTTGGCAAGGGGTGGTTTAAGTCAGCCCAAAACTATGTGAGATCCAACTATGCAAAAGGCAACACATTAAATAGTAAGTGGCATAGTAAACTTCAAAATAAATGGATATCCTTGTACAATTCAGCCTGTAGAGGTTTGTGGAATCCAAGAAATAAAAGTGCAAAGCTTGTAACAGATAACAGGCTGTTGTTTACAAAGCGTGGATAAGAGAAGAGACAAAGGGGTCAGAAAAATAGACAATGTCAATATTTTCTAGTCCAAAATCCATCCTTTGTGAACATTTGAGTTTTTATAGACACAAATGAACCACGTTTAAAGACAGGAATAAAAAAAGACAAGCTTCAAAGTACATTCACTTTGATTTAAGCAGCTTTTATTGATCTGTACAAAGTCCAGCTGAAATGCGCCCTGTCACAGAGATCTGCATCTATAGAGCCAGTCAGCTTGCCAGGCTATTAGGAGCCTCCACTACAGTCCCACTGTGTTGGCTAAATACAGCGTCTTGTTCTTGGTATGCCTGGAACTCTCACCGACTAAAGCAAACACAGGCTGGAAATAAACAGCCCTGCTCCTTCCTTTCCAGTCCACCACCCAGCTCCAGCAACTTCTCCCAGCAATCCTCATCATTCGAGGGAATTACAAGGCTAAGCCTGCTGCTAAAACCTCACTGCCTTGTTGTTGAAGCTTTACTCACCTCAGACCAACAGCACCCTCTCCATTCTTACTTTCTCTTCTTCTCTCCTTTCTCAGGAGGACAGGATATACTGCACTTAGATCAGGCTGTTTGAGCCACAGAACTGCTGTTTCTCCTCAGTCCGTGCACGCTCTCTGTAAGGGGGGGGAAAGTTCCACTATTGGTGTAAACTAAGCACAGCGCTGCTCTGGCGCACTATTGGACAGCTGCCTCCTCCAATCCCACGAGGCTCTGAGCCGAGCACTTCCCCTACCCAAATAAGAGTCCTGTTATTCAGTGGAGGTGAACTCATGACAAAAACAGCCTGTTGCTGAATAGCTTAGCTACTGTCCAACTTTTACACTCTAGTTTATTACTTTGGTCCACTTTGCAGCACACTTTCACCAACCAGAGTGTGTCTTACAAGTCCTACTTTCACAACTGTGTATTAAGTTATGTGTAAATAAAACTTGATCCAACCGAAGGCTTTAACGATTTTTTAAAAAATCATTTTACACATTACTTTTGTCTGCAAAATGTTAGAATATAATGAAATATGCTTGTCACAATTTCTGAGAGCACAAAGTGATGTCCAGTTTTGGGGGACTTAACCGCTGAATGAAAGAAATTACCTTGGACAAATGAGCATTTTACAGGGAGAAAAAAACCAAACAAAAAAAACAACAACAAAAAACTATTAACCAAAGAAAATAATTGCTACTTCTCCTTTATTTTTAGGAAGCCTAAATTTTGTATCAAGTTTTCCACCAAGTGCACTTCTTAAAACAAAGTCCAGGTTGTGTTTTCTCCTGGACCTGAAATAAGCACATCCTGTTTTTATCTCTTGGTATAAATAATCTCTGTTAGGCAGCACAGTCATGGTCTTGTGCTGTCCCTCTCTGGCACAAGTTACCGAGTGTTGATCATCCATGTCTCTCTCTCTCTCTCACACACACACACACACACACACACACACACACACACACGCGCGCACACACACACACACACACACACACTTGTGACAGGCAGCCCTCTGGTACAGCAGAGACCCCGAACAGCTGAGTGATGACCTCATCGACACGGGACAACTGAAGTGGTCACGCTCCAGTGACAGGGACTGACACTTGAAGCCCGGGAGTCCGCTCCAGTTATCGACAGCTGTTACATTGTCAATTTGAAAGGGATTACCCAACAGGCAGCTCTTTTAATGGCCGTTAAAACTACAAGGTTATTATTTTTTGCTGCATATGTGCTCTTCTTCTATAGTCATCTCTGCCTAAAACTGTTTGCACAGCCGCAGAATTACACATTTCTGGTAGATGAAGTGAACCCTGAAACCTTCCCAACAAAACTGTGCTCCACCAACATGACGAAGCACAGCTAGAATTTAAGAAACTTTAAAAAGGGACCTCCGCCCAGATTAAACAGCCCTCTTGGCTACTTGCCTCTGCATTATATAAAAAAAGGGGAGAAAAAGTTAAGTGAGACGTTGGTTGGTTAAGTAGAAACTTGACAGTGTTGGGCAAGCTACTAGCTACTCTACATTAAATGAAGCTTCACTACACAGAAGCTACCCCCCAGTGAAATGTAATAAGCTAAGCTACAGCAACCTGGCAAAAGTAGCTTAGTTTCATCCAAGCAACTTTAAATTTTTTATAGTTCGATAGATCACCTAAATACCTATCGGCACACAGAGTAGGCTATAGGCCTAGTTTATATTGAACTAACTTCATTCCACAGTAGCAATAGAAGAAAGACTAAAAACCTGCTCCAAACAGAGTGTGTGTGCCAGACAGAGCTAAATTAGACACACAGAAACTCCCCTACTTACTGCCATATCATTGCAGCTAAACGTATTTCCTCATGCAACAAACAGAGAACCATTGTTGTTTGTATAAAGTTACTTAATTATTATTAATTAATTATATTTTTTATTGTTTATGTTAATTTGTGCTTTGGCAACATTGCAACCTAAACATTCATGGCAATGGGCGCACGACAGAGAGAGAGACAGACAGAGAGACAGAGACACAGAGACACAGAGAGAGACAGAGACACAAAGAGAGAGACACAGAGAGAGAGACACAGAGAGAGAGACACAGAGAGAGAGAGAGACAGAGAGACAGAGACACAGACACAGAGAGAGACACCGAGACAGATCTCATCTCATGGAAACAAGTTTCTGCCACTACATATCAAAGTTTCCTCCTCACTAGAGGACGAGCTGTCCAGGCTGGACCCTGATCCTTCTCACAAGGTCTTACAATAACTATCACAATAGAAAGTAAACTCAATCGCGTGTCTTTATTCCCCTGCAGGAAAGTCGCAGACATCAGCCCAAGGATCGGTACATGATGTCACGTCACACTGAAGCGCATCTGCCAGCTGCACACACAGGTCCGTGTGTGGCGGTGGCGTCACTTACTGACCTTTCAGAAATGCTGGGGAAAATGTAGCGTGTGTGGAAGCTGCCGCGCTACTCGGTCAATAAAAGAGTTTGGTTACTGAAAAGCTATTTGATTCAGAAAATAGCGACGCTACCACCAAGCTACTGAGAAATGTAGTTAAACTAGTAACGCCGCTTGTAGCGGCGCTACTGCCCAAAACTGAAACTTCAACATTTCCTTCATAAATACTCTCAGGCTTCAACAGTATGACTAATCTCTAACGCATCTGAGAGCCTTAAAAAGTTTCATGCTACATCAGGTTTTTATACATTAGTAGAGATCTGAAAGAGAGATGAAAACTGTTGGTGTAATAACAAAACCTTTTCAGCACAATATTTCCTAATACAAATGTAAAATCATTTTGTGTGAAGAGACCAACTGTCAGCCTGTCCGGTGCCGGGCGTTGGAAACAAAAATAAGCTTTGGGCAGGATTATTGCTCGACACCTCGCGGCGATTTCAGGCATCTGGCACAGCCAAGGACAGAAAGACATAATTAGGGTTCATACCACGTAGTTTTGTCTCGCAATGAAACAAATTTATAAAATTAACTTAAGTTGTCTTTTTAAGAGTAGGACAACTGACACTTTCTGCACATTTTCTATCCAAGGAGGAATAAATGAGGGATTTTGTACAGCGTGTTTTAGAGCTGAAATGTTGATCAACAAAAAAATATATATTTCTCAGACTTTTGATATTTGAATTCTCATCACTTGCCAAGCAACAATACAAAACATTTGCTTCTCTGTTTCACACAATATTTTGGGGTTTTGGACAAAAAAAAATAAAAAATAAAAGCAATGTGAAGAGAAGTGAATTAAAAGGAAACAATCATACTTGATTGATAAATCAACAAAATTGATAATGCAAATAAGAGTTAGTTGGTGACCCTAATTGGTTTGTTTTCCTCCTTGTGTTGTCAAAAACATCATGAGTTTATCTAAAGGGGGCAAATGTATCATAGCTCAACTGAAATCCCCCCCCCCAAAAAATGTACTTTGGAGCTGAGGAAATTGAACAACTGAAGAGATTTAATTACTGAACTAAACAGTATATTTTATATATAATGTAAAAATAGCATATTCACAGCCAGATTCAGCAACACACTGATGTGATAACAGTCAGCCATTTCCAGCTGAACAGACATGTGCTCTGCATAAAATCCCTTTAAATACAAGCTTCACTCGTCTGTACTTCAGCAATAAAGATATTTTGTTTGCTTTTTGACTATTTTTGCTGCACCAAGCAAAATCTTTTAGCAAGTTATTTTTAAGTTACTTTTAGTCCGTGAACTCTGTTTGCTCTTAAAATACTGCACTGAAGGCCAAATTTGGCCTTGATGTTGATGTTTGGCTTATTTTGCACTGGCTCAGTAAACGTTTAAATTTAGAGCTGACAAAGCCTTTCAAACATCCACACTGCCTCAGAGATAAATAAGGCTACTGGTCTCAATCTGTCAGCTAGTTGTTTGTTATCCAACTGGATGTACAGAAATGTCTTGATTTAAAATCACTGATTTCTGAATTCTGTATGTATCTTTTTCTATTTATAAAATTAAACTCACTTAATTACAAGTTACAAATGATCAAGCAGGTCAGAAACACGGACCACGTTATAGGCTTCTCTATACTACAAAATATACAGCTTATAATGTACTGATTGTCATTCAGAGTAAAAATGTATTACATAATTATTATGTGGATCTCAACGCACACCAGATGTCTTAGAAGTTCTTAATGTCCGTCTGAGACACTGTAACAAGTTTTTTTTGTTGAGACAAACATGTTTTGTAAACCGCCTCATTGGGTTTCAGCCATTTTGATAACTGTAAAAACTGTTAATCCTGTAGAGTCCTTGGACGTATCATACACGTTCATTTTGATAATCAATCGTTTAAGGTATACTGTCTAAAAACGACTAACCTTTGAGTTGTGTACATTATCCCAAATGTTAACAACAATTTTTTTACCGGGGAAATACGTAATTTTAATCAAGATAACTGTGCGTTTTATTTGGTCACCAGTCATGACATCATATCGTCGTTGGGTCGTTGGGTATGAGTCAGCGTTGTAGTCGTCTGCTAGCGGCAGCTTGCAGTGTCCTATGTCCACAGATTTTTTACGTAAACTGCTTTCCACCAGTTTTAATCACCGCTACTTCACAACATCAAACCATGTCTTTTGTTATAGTTTCTATGTAAGAGACCTCTAGCGGCAGAAAGTGACACTGTGCGTTTAAGCGATTCATCAAGAAAACATTTGTTGGTTCCGGTTCACCAAATTTAAGGTTTTTGCTATTTTTCTGTTTTTTCTCATTGTAATCTGGATTCTTTGGTTAGGAGATAAAAAGCAGTTTAAAGACTGATGTTTTAGCTTATTTATCAGGAAATAAGACATAATGAAATAATCATTAGCCCTGGTTTTATGCAGAAGAAAATAAACTATTTTTATTCTGTTGTGTTGTTTCATACATCTTTTAGGAATCACTATCCTGCTTGGCAACAGTAAGTGAAGAAACATAACAAATGCAGATGCTTCCATTTAGGACACAGGGGAGGTCACTGAATTAATTCATGAATACAAAAATGATCAGAATCACAATACTGACTCACTAATACTTTGTTTTCCTCTTATTTTTCACATCCAACTCATAACAGCCAATAATGAAAAACTCCACTTCTGAGCAGAGATTTCAGATATAGAAACAGATACAACATATATTTCCTTACAATTGCACAAACAGACAGAGAAATACACAGATTTCATACACACAGCTGCAGAGTGGATAATCTCACACACACACACACACACACACACACTTTTCTCATACAACCAGCCTGGTATTTCCTGGCTCTGTCTGTGAGCTCTATACGCCTAATTACTCACAAGAAAAGTAGAGCCAACATTTGATCAACACCTCCTACTGTAGCAGCTAGGAACACTAGGAACAGTGAGACACATCCGTCCGCATGAAAAAAAATTACAAAACAGGAAATAAAACACAAAAACATTTAAACTGCACATTCCAGCACTTTTCAAACTGAACCCAGGCAGGACAGACTGAGCAGACTGATGTATTAGCTTCTTCTAGAAACTCACAGCACTGTGCCAGACCCTGCTGCCAGATTCAACAACTTAGCTCTGTACATGATGATGTAGGCTGGAGGAAATGTTTGAGCTTCCTCTGCAAACACTGAGGCAGTCTGAAAAACATTGCCCTTCTCTGTCTTTTCTCATAAACGGTCAAGCAAAATAATCAAAGGCACTGAGTGTGCAACTGCAACAAACCACACAGCAATTAAAAAATGTGGAATATTAGAATATAGTTGTACCACGTATATATGTGTCTATTCAAATCATTTTAGGGTAGACACTTTAGTGTGAGCAACCTTAAACAGGGCTGTGGCTATAAAGCGATGTCTGCAACTTCATTGATTCCAGTATTGTTTTTCATAAATGGTAATCCCTAAACCTCAAACTATGCTTCAGGGAAGACAGCTCATCAAGCAGAGTGCGAAAAGTGTTAAAACAGAAGTCAACCAGACGGAGTAAAAATAATACAAATTTTAAATATTTTTGCAGGTGCAAAAACTAAAAAATTATTTATATACCAAATCACAATTATATAAAACTAACTTTTTCTGCATTAGTTCCCCAGATATATGCTACAAAAGGACAGCTGTTTTCACTCAGCATCATCTTAAAACAGTCTACAGTCATGCTAGTAACTCTGGGAGCGCGTACTTAGCTGTGCTTTGGGCTAAATGCCAACATGCTCACAGTGACGACGCTAAACATCTATAACCTGCAGATGCAGCAGGTATAATGTTTACCATGTTCATCACTTTGGTTTAGCGTATTAGCATGCTAACACTTGCCAATTAGTACTAAACAGAAAGTTCAACTGAGGCTGAAATGTCATTACTTTTTCAGGTATTTGGGCATAAACCAAAGTACTGGAGTGACGCACTGAAGACTGACTGGCTATAAAAATAGCCATTTTCCTGTGACGGAGGGGCAAGAGCAGTCACTCCACCCGGATTTGAACCCAGGTCTACAGGGTACCAAGCATGCAACTTGACCACAACGCCAAAGAGCCAGGCTCATTAGTAAATGCACACATTGTTGATGCTAAAATATACTGGTCAGCTGTTCTGACTACAGAAGGCACCTTTCAAATACTGACAATGAACAGATTAATGCACACTGTGATACAGTCACACTTAAACAAACCAGTTCAACATCTATTCATCAGACACGGCTGTGTAAAGACACTAAGAGTCCAGAACATTCAGGACCAGTTAATAAAACAAACAATTATCCCCTAGTAGTTTAGTTACAAAGACACAGCGCCCTGCCCCTTTGGCACACACTCACAGCACTTATATAAACACATACTAACACAATAGGAAAGTGACCGATGGGCACAGTAAGAAAACCGTACCATGGAGTATTTCAAGTGGCAGCTGGGTCAGTGGGTTTGAATGAGCTGCAGGGGGGGTCGACCCATCAGCCTGTTGATCTCTGGGTTTTCTGTCCTCAACAGACTGGTGGCATTCAAGTCAGGCCAAAGCCATCATGGTGCTTTGAGCCATGACTCAGCCTCTGCAGGGTTTTTATTATAGCCAAACCACAACTTCGCTGCTTGAGGGAAGAAGGCTCGAGTTGTTATTTAGCTTATTTTTCCTCATAGTCATTGTTTTTACATTTGCAGTTTTTGCACTGAATCACAGGTTCTGCTTAAATAGAAAAGAATAATGAAGACACAGCAGCTTGATCAACAAGCTTTACCTCACACATCCATTTGCTGTAGAGTTTTACTAACTGTGTTGTGCGTTTCTTTACTGTTTAACATAGTAGACAAGCCAGGAAGGCTAACAAACATTTGCCTACCAACACCCTCAGCTGTACTACCCTTCTCATAATATAACTCAATACCATTTCATTTGACTATCTGCAAAGTAAATGTCTACATCTCTTAAATCCCAAACCTCTAGTTTGTTTGCAGACAAAAACAAACAAACAAAAAAAAGAAATCTACAAAAGTGTAAAGAACAAGCTGAGAAAACATGGATGATGCAAGTTATTTTCACGGACTGGACAAAGCTCCAGAGGCACAGAAAACTTTATACAAATGTCTTACAGGATTAGTAGCACTTCTCATAAAGAGACTAATCTAAACTTTCCTTTAAAACTGGACACTGCTAACAAATACTTCACAGCTGGTAATAGTTCAGCTTCTGAAACCAACTGAACAGATGCAGAGGAATCAATGTCAGATTATTTGTCTCCTAAAGTTATTAGGCCAAACTTAATACTTCTTAATAATCACGTGGCATGATTGTTACCCCTTTTTGAGCATTGACCGCTAGACTGGAGCACTAAAGGTTAAAGTTCCACCGTCTTCTTGAAATTCTTTTGGTGCAGCAGGTGACCACGTTGGCATGTTAACTGCCAACACTGCAGAGAAGCTATTTTTACAGATTTCGGGGGGAGGAGGTTAGCAGTGTTAATGTAGCATTCCTCAGCATGTTTCACATTCTGTAAAAAAATGACAATAAAAACACTTTGTTGGACCTTTGAAGTGAATGCACACATTTTTCTTGACTACATCTACATACTAAAAAAAAAAAAGGTATCATATCTCAGTCAAATGCATGGTGGTGGCAAACGGACGCTGCGGACGGTGTGTTAAGTGTCCTGAAAGCATCTGATCTGCATGCTGTGCATTCCTGGAGGGATTTGAAAGAAACTTCACTCTCTCCTGTTAGTCTGGCCAGGAACATGAGCCATCTGCAGGTGTGTGTTCAGAGCTACGCCTCAGCTGACAGCATTTATTTCACACTGAAGAGTGGAAATCTCCTCTACATGCGCGCCGTGTGAACGCAAACAAACTTGGCGTGTTTCAGAGGCATCAGAGGTGAGAAATAACTTACAGAGGAGCGAATTAGTTATTTACATAAAACATTTCATACAGAGGGTAAAGTCAAAGTAGTAAATTCACTGACAAAGGAGAGAGATTTGGCGGGTCACCTTGTGTGATGTTTTCAGAAGTAATTTAGTGCTGCTACACCTAGTCCTCCCAAATATTTTGGTGGGATGTCCAAGTGTGATTCTGATCCAAATCTCAAAACGACGAAAGTGAAAACTAACCAACAGAGACAGATGTGATGCAGGAGCTGACCAGTTAAATATACATGTCTGACGTAACCGTGACACTAGACACCAAATCTACATTTACCACCATTGTATCCTTATCCAGCCTAGCTTGAATTAGTAAGGATGAGCACATATAGCTCATGAGGCAGCCAGGAGTCGTTTCACATGTAAAAGTATATTATTATTAACCAACAGTGTAATGGAGAAAACAAACTAGTCATACTGGTGCAACCAACTTTATACAACCATCTACTACAATATGGTTGTGATGACTCGGTCCGATACACAAGGAGAGACCCGGCAGAGAAGAATACTAATTTCACAAAACAAAAAGATAAACAGAACACGCTGCAGCATCACACACAACCAAAATGAGAAGAAAAGAGAACCATAATGTAACAGAGGGGAATGTTACCTGGGCCATTGCCATTCACGTGCACGGTTTGAGCCATGGCTGCAGCTGTGTGCTCTCAGTCCCACAACAAGACCTCCTGCGGTCATGCAACTGCCATGCATCAAGTCCAGATTACCATGCAACCTGCAAACTGAGACAAAACACACAAGGACACATTTAACTCGCATGTCAAATTAGTTGTAAAGAGTCACAGGCGGAGACGTATCCAAAGCAGCATAACAACTGTTTATATCTTTAGATAATATATTCTTGTATGCTATTACAACAACAACTGATATAAACACCAAAGAACATTTAAAGAAAAAAAACAAAAAACAAAAAAAACACACACACTTTATACAGAAATTCAAATCCATTTAATGTATTTACATTTGTAATCTCTACTTCCACTAGGGCTGGGAGATATGGCCAAAAGTGTCCCACCATTTCGATAGTTATCACGATAAATGTCAAATCATTATTTCTTTCAAGTTTACAGGCTGATTTTTGCTCCCGAGTGAAAATGAAAGAAAATAGACGGTTGATTGCGGTTTTAAACTTTTCTTTAAGGTCAGAGCAAACACTTGATCAAACAGTGGGTCACTTCACAAATCATATATGGAACATTTAAAGCAATAATGACAAAATACATTTCAACAAATATGCAAAATTAAGGAAAATCTTTTTCAGATCCTTTTCCTCAACAAAATACATCTTAATAGAAAATAATCCTCCGATAATTATCATTTTTGTTTTATTGCCCTGCCACAGCGTCCACTGACTTAACCATAATGTAATATATAACAGAGAAACATCTTTTCCAAAGAGTACATGAGAGATCTCCGTGCGACATGTATTTCATGTTCCGTTACACAAAGGCATTTTTTAGTGAAAGCTGAGGCCCACCTAGTGTGAGTGATGGCACTGACCTCTGCTTTTTCACAGGTGTGTCTGCATCTGACATTTATGAACATAGAGGTCCTGTGTGCACTGGCCTGGTCATCATCAATGGATACATTATGAGCAGGAACAAAAGAGCTATTCTCCTCTAATAAAAAGAAGCCAACATGAGGGGAAAAAGTTGACTTCATGGCCCAGAAAGAGAGGCCCAGATAGCCCCACGCTCTTTTTATACACTGACTTCAGACTCCATTTACCAACAGGACTACTGACCTCAGATCCTCTACCCTGCTGATCACTGGTTCCCACTGGGCCCCCTAGTGGTCTGTAAGAGGGTCTTTAGCGAAATAAGACAGGCTTCAATTTTTCTATTAGTGATTTTTTATTCACTTAATGTCCATGTAATGGAAACACTATCCTCCACACAAGGAACAACCAGCAGAAGCTTGTAAAATTAGACAACCTAATCCATCATCAATATCATCAAATGTCATTTGACTGATGAGCAGGTATGTGTGCGTTTTTTAAATTGAATTGATTTGTCCTTTAGTTTGATGTATATTGTGACTTGTATGTGCTTTTATTGTTTTATATGTACTGTAATCAGGGAATTCTTGTAAAAAAGAAGTTGCTCTCGATGGCCCTCCCTGTTTACATAATAAAGACTACAGTGAGGCGGTCTAAATATTAGAAAGAACACCACAAACTACAGCCTTCAAAATGGCCACACAAACACTTCTCTAAAAACTGAACAGTGTGACAATAACTTCATTAAAATGTAGGATTTATTGCAGGGTTGTTGTATTAGACTATTAGTTTTAGCTAGGTATAACTAATGAACAAGATACTATGTAAATCTTATGACCATTAAGCCATCCACCTGTTGAAAACTTGTTTTGCAAACCTATAGGATCCATAGGGGTCAGAGGGAAAGTCTGAAAGGTCACTCTGTTCGCTCATCTGCAGCACATGTAAATCCCCATTTACAGAACACACCCAAATAAAGCAGTGCAGCAATATCATTAGGCTGATGAGTCTAAATCCTAACTGTACGTCATCACGAGGACCGATTATATATCTGACACAGAGAGGAAAGAGATCTGAACCAACCATTACAGAGCACCCTGAACTGTTCCAACACCCAAATAGACCGCAATCATACGTGCGTTGCTAAAAATTCTGAAGTCGCTCTTCCTCTGAGCTACTCTGGCTCACATTTAAAATCAGCATGTGAAGTAACTAGAAATTAAAACATCCATTCCACATCCAAAGAACAAGTCTTTCAGTCTCTAAACTACAGTTTAGACTGTGGGATGTTTGGATTTGGAGGAGAATCTGCCACTTTAGGGTACAAAATAGAAAGAGGACGATATTCTTCATGAGCAAAAGTATCAGACTTTAAAAGTTTTAGCTTACGACACACATGCGGAGTGAATGTAGATGGACCAAAATAAAGACGAAAACTGACTAAATAAACAGTTAGGACATGGGGAAAAAAAATAAATAAAATGAGGACCATTTAAGTTCATATTAACAGTGACAGAGATGCTCCTAACGTATAAATACTTTATGTATGCAGTATGAGACAGCTACCACAATAATAAGTGTGCAGAAAGACACAGGGAAATCAACAAACTTAACTACAAAAAGGTGAGGCTGACATAACTGTATGCTTCTTTAACAAGATACTGGTAAATATCACTGTGGACCTACGGTACGCAGAGAAGGGCGTTATGGGTGACAGTAGGTCGTACAGGAGCTGACGGGCATCCCTCCCAAATCCCAACACCACATTGGCGGTAGACGGAGACGAAAACAAATATGAACCCAGTTTAGCAAAGCAAGTGAACACACCCTGTGTGGGTGTCCATACAGTATATGTAGCTTTAAGACATATTTACTAAAAAAATAAAATGAAGCAAGCAACTTCAATCCAATTTACCTTCTTGCTAACTTCATGCCAATACATAATGAACTAAAAAAAACCAAAACATTAAAAAAAACACCACATCTCACTGACCAAACATCTCAGAAGTGCAGAATGCAAACCTGAAAGAAGGAGCAGGAAATGCTCAGATATTCAATGCAGCAAAAATATACCAACTAGGATTCTGTCTTCCTCATCTCGTTATCTTATTCAGGCTTAATTAGACTTTTTCAGCAAGTCTGTAAGAAGCTGACAGATGAAGACTGCGAGACTGAAACACTATGCTTTTGTACTTTGAACTGATTTTCTATGATAGCCAAAAACATTTTGGTGAATAAAGCATAGTGAACATTGAAAATGTACACATAGCTAAGGTTCAGACTAGATGTTGACATTTTTTCAGGAATCCTGTGGGTCACGGGAAGCCTGTGGGATTCCTGTGGCATTGGAATCAATTTCACAATGGGCCAGGAAAACAAGCCAACTGGAGCTGGCAGTATTGGAACCACAGGTCAGCTTTTGAACATAAACACTCCCCTCCCCTCCCATTTAATTTAAAAATTCAGACCAGTGTGATCTCCAATGTTCAAAGTTAGAAATAAAGCAGAAAAAGGACTGTCTGCACATAGTCTATTTTCTCTCCTTTCTGCTGCACAGCAACATGACATTCAGTTAATGATCAACATATTGAGGAACTCACACTTTTACTCATAATTTACGACTCTGTTGACTTTTCAGCATTTCTCTGAATACCCTCAAGAAAACACGAGCTTTCAGTCTGTTGCGTAATAACTCTAAAACTGGGTGGACTCTGAAAAGTACTGAAAGGAAACTCTTAAGACTGCATGCATGAGTTCCTAGTTTAAAACAAACAAAAACATTTTTGTGTTCTTCTTGGGATGGTGTGAAGTGAACAGTGAAAACTAGTTGTTATTATGGCCTGTAGGACTGAGTAATGCTGAAGCTTTGTCACACCTGCAGCAGACATAACCAAACAAATAACCTGTTGGTACATAATGTTATCCGTCATCAAAACCACAACACTGAGACGGGCTACTCTAACAATCTCATGCAGCTTACCCGTAACTCTCATTCTAACTTCCTCCGACAGCACGCAGGTATCAAACAGGACTGAGTCCGCAAGCCCCCCCAACAACAAGCACTCACCCAGCAGCCCTGAATGAGAGGGTAAGTTTCACGGCTAAGATTAGACAACTTCCTCAGATGACAGCCAAACGATCTGTGTCCTATAAGAGGAAACAGGACTTCAGGCTGTTTGGGCAGAACTGACCCCTCTGCAGGGCCTCCAGGTAAAGACCATGGCAAGCTAATGTGGTTAACAACCTCTGGTCACTCTTCAGCCTGCGCTAACCTTCAACTCGTGGCTGAAAAACAGCTAATGAGGCAGACAATAGGACGTAATGGAAAGCCCTTTCATGAACGGTTACATATTAACCAACACAGCAGCATTTCCCTTCAGTGATCAGCAGCTGAAGGTGAAGACAGAATAAACAAAAAGTCATACATCGGTAGGCTGAGGCTTGGACACAGAGATGAGACGTGTTTCATCAGGTCTGTCAGGAGATATTTGGGTAGCAATAGTAAGAATATACATTTAGTGACAAGTAAATGTAACAATATATTTGCATATTAGGTTACAGATCAATCAAACGGAAGATCAAAAACAGAGCTCAAATAATTAGTCGATTGGTAACAACTTTTAAAAAAAAAACAAAATCGGTCATTTAATCAACCAAAAATCCGAAATATATCAAATATATGGTTCTGGCTACCCACATGTGATAGTTTGCTGCTTTTCCCTGGTTTATAGTTATACACTGAATAATTTTGGGGTTTGGACTCAAATCCTTTTAGTTTTTGGGCTTCTGAATGTTTTTTTTTTTTTTTTACTTTTTGAAAGACTAAACGATTAGTGGATGGATCTAAAAATAATTGTCAGATTAATAAATAAAATGATTCACACACTTTAATCATATCAGCTGATTAAATGCCATCCTACAACTTGCTAAACTACTTCGCTCACCAGTTACTAAATATAGGAAAATGTCCCTTGAATCATCAGTGGCAATTAATTTAACATGCAGTGAACGTTATTTTTCCTCTAACCAGAGATAATGTTATGTAATGTTAAAAAAGGACCAGTGTGTAGGATTTAGTGGCTTATAGCCTTGAGTATGCAGAGTGCAACCAACTGAACATCCCTCGCCTCACCCTACCCCTTCTAAGAGTGTAAGAAAAAACCCAAAAAAGCTACTGTAGAAACCTTTGTATAACAGTTCTTGTTTCAGCTGATTATACACCAATGAAAACATACAGATATTATATTCCATTTCTGCCATATTCTGCCAAGAGATCCACCTAAATATTACAAATTCCGAACCAAACTACCAATATCTACCCATCAACAATATCCATACAGTACCAGTTTCCTACCTTGTATAGCAATAAGTGGCCTTGGTGATAACACCCATTTTATTTAAGATTTTAATATGAACAGTTCATTTAGTATGCTGTAAAAACTCGGCCATATAGAACACGCACTGTCAAACAGCCGAATGTGTCTTACAACTAAATCACAGTTGACCCAAACTGGCTGAAAAACTGTTGCCAGAAGCCAAAGCTTTGTAGATAAGTCAAGCGTGGCATCATATTACTCAACAGCTCTGCCTACCTGCTGTAGTATCATGGTGGATTTTCTATAGGTTTCTCCTATAGGGAAAATATCATTCAGCTTAGAAAGTAGTTGGAGACTGACTGATAGTTCGGCCCTGTGAAAGCAAACCAAGACCTTTTAGAGTCATCCATATTTTTACAACTTGAACTTTCCACTTAGTTTGAACAAAGACAGGATTTAAAAAAATAATAAATTAGAACCCACCTTAATCCACTCTTTCTGAACAGAGCAAGCTGATTTACAAGTAGCCTGAGCGTGACGCGACTGGAGAATTGAAATTTACTAAAGAAAAACAGGGCAACGACGTTAGCTGACACAAACCTGAACAACTTGTTTTATTCCTCCTTGGCTGTTACATAAACGTTAAAAACACGCACACAGAGCGCAGTGGCATGACAGGAGCTGCAGGTGCACGTTTCCTGATTTACAGTGACTCATGTCAGGCTCCTCTTCACAGGGAGGCGTGTGTCTGTGTTTACAGGACAAGCCACCGAGAGGATTTATTGTGATACTGGAGACTCGACATGCAAGTAAAACAATAACAGACGCAAACTAACAAGTAATTAAACACAGTCGTGTCTCATGCTTTATTGTTTTATGATAAAACAGAGGACAGTGATTTACAGGGGACGAAAAAGGTCTGCTCAAATGAATAATTTGTTTCCTTGAAATCAGAGACTTTATACATGATTATTCTCAAATTACTAAATCAATGATTAATTGATTCGTCAGCAGTTGGAAAGTAAATTTTTAACTATTTTTGTAATCTATTAATCATTTTTCAAGCAAGAATACCAAACATTAAAACAAATTCCACCTTCATGTGTGATACAAAGACATCATCTTCAGGAAATTGTGGTTTTGACAATTTATATATCAAACGATTCATCAAATGATTAAGAAAAAAAATTAAGAAAATCAGATTAATCATTAAAATTATAGGTTGTTGCAACTCTATATTAAAAGAAAGTCAGAGAAGGGAGAATAAGACTAAGCAATATAGCAATTCAAGAAATACTAATTTCTACAATTTTATAATTAGAGAACACAAATTGTTTAATCTTGAGTGTAATTATTACAGACCTTGTTTAGTCTGGTTGAAACGGAGCCTGGAGCGTATACCCCCTTAGTGTGGTTTGTGTAGGTTGGTGCTAAAGCCGGACTCGAACACTGATGCGGACCAAACAACTGCACTCTGGTCCGTTTCGAAGACGTGGTCTCAGACCACTGTCAAGTGAAACCTGGAGTGGTTCATTTCTGGTGTGAACACCATTCGAACTGATCACGGGAAACTACGACTTTATGCGTCATTTAAAATAGTACTAATTAGGGGGTACACCTGTCGGTACAGTAACACAGGTGTCCTAAAGTGAACTCAGGGGAGGACAGAAGCAGAGGGCAAACACTCGCTTAATCTTGATTCAGTATGATTATAGAGGGCATGGGCATGCAGAGACATCTTAAGTAGCACGTGAGAAAGCAAACTCAATCCTGCTGTATTAACATATACCACTACGTTGTTTAATATGACATTAAGTTAGTAGAAAAAAACAGATGGTCAACCACCATGACGAATTAACACTATTATTAGGGTTGTCAAAATAACAGAAATGTCTGAGAATGGGCCAAACTAAAACATTCAATTTTGAGGGGAGATACAAGCGTCTTTTAAGCAGGTCTGACCTTGTCTTGTTCAGTGCAGTGGTGACTTGCTTATTCAAACCCAGGAAGTTTCTTGAGGGTTTTCAATACCACAAAAAACACCATTAGTATTTTTAATAAAAATTGTTGTGGCATAACCTTTCCATATTGCATATGAACAGTGAAAAAGGTTATGAATGTACAGGAAATACATATGCTTAGCTAAATAAGTTTGTTTATCATCATTTATGCACTCATCTACCAAAATCCATTTGGATTTAAATATTTTAAATGCTTATATCATTATTCAATTAATTACAAAATTCCAAACAAGTTACAAAACCTGTAATTACATTAATATTTTAATCGCTTGACAGCCCTAATTATTATGTCTATAATTATCATCATCATCATCATGGTCAAACTTCAATTAATAGTTTAATTAAGTTAAATTAAAAATAAATGACATTAACCAACGCTGCTGGCACACTGGATGTCTTCATATTTGTATCTTGACACTCAACACAGAAAAGGTTGCCGAGCCCTGATACAGAGAATAGAACAATTACAGCCAAAATATGAAATACTGTAAACAAAAAACAATACATACAATATAAAATAATTATTATATGTAATATTTACTCTTGATGAAAGGTGATATATATTGAACTTTATGTATGCAACATGTAGGGATAGATTTGCATTAATTCATTCATTCGGAGACGTTCAAAACATTCAAAACCGTCTGATGCAGAGTTTGTTCACTGCATTATTCAATTATTTAATACCCGCTGTCTTACGAGACATTCATATGAGTGACCCTTTAAAGTCGGCCAATACGCGCTCCAGAACAACACTAACAGAACCCGACTGTGCTCCATGATGATATCCAGGTAGAAATATGGACGGGTTTGTTGTTTTTTTTAAACCGGTGTTAACTGTACGACCAATAATCAAAACGACATTTCCACCATATGGCTTTTGTTTACAATTTCTGGACCGTTTGAGTTTTCGGATCAGATGCAAAATTTTAACATTGTATCATCCTCACATTGGTTCGATTCAGGAACCAGACCTTTAGGTGTGAACCTGCCCCTAAATTATCAAATGAAAATTTCCCCTCAGCACTTTCAGGCAAGATTTACATGTTAAAGTGCACCGAGCTGTCACATGGCCACAACAAAGTAAAAGTAAAGAGGAAGATGATTCAAGTGGAAAAAAAAAAAAAACATGACTTTCACAAAAAGTTTCCAAATTAATGTAACAAAAAGGCAATAAGATGGATTTCCACTCGTTCATTAACAGGCTTCTCCTGAATTCAGAATTTTGTTTGCTTGTTGGGGAAATACAACATGAACAAAGACCGAATGTTTATTTTTTTAAAAATCTGGATTAAAAAAATTATTGTACTATTAAGTCAGTACACTGTTGGCATGATTAGTGTCAACATTCATGCAGGTCTAAATGAGACTGTGTCTAGACCCCTTTTTTTTTTTTTTTTTTACATATAAAGTGACCAACTTAAGAAAAAACACAAAGTCTTGACAGGATGTGGTGTGAAGGTTCACTTTTTCCACTGTGAAAAAAAAACAAAAAAACCCACAAAGCTAAGGCTTTGTAACGTGTGTGTGTCAACAGTAAACAGCATGAAAAGTTAAGAGGGCTGTAAAGGTTGCAAATGCACTGCGCTGAATATTCAACAGGCTTGTTTTTCCCCTAATAAAAGTTGAGGCTACAGCTTTAATGGAGGGAAAAAGCCTCCAGAGGAACTGGGATATTTATTTAGAAAGGGCTCAGTAGAATGAAAACATGAGCTGTGTGTGCAGCAGCATGCAGGGCATTTTATCTCTCAGTGGATAAGCAACATGATTGTGCACAGGTGTTTGTTTTTTTCCCCTAGGAGCATCTCTGTGAGAACTCAAAACACAAACAAAAGCCCCCTGTAACTAGACAGAATACTGTATAGTTACAAGTTTCCGGTGCTAATATGTACATGTTTATTCGAGATCATTGCAGAACATGCAGTGGCTACTTTGTCTCAGCTCTGCATCTGGCCCTCATTAGCAAATGCCTTTGAAGCTTGGAAAAGTAGCCGCTGTGCCGACTATGGAGAAGACGGGGGTCGGGTGAGGAGGCTACACACCTCAACTCTGATGTTCACTACCGTAAAGCAGCAATAGCTGCGGTACTGCCCCCAGCCTGTGACGGTTGGTTTCCTTTGATGTCCAGAGTGAGCCTGCTGAGTTCAACTCTGGACAGCCTGCTTCAAAGCATTTCAATTATCCCAGCAAGGAGGGAGGAGGATTTCATCTTCTACTGTACAAGTCTACCGTCACAAAAGAGGAAGGAAAACACTTCCAGCTACATCTAAGTGGCTAAAAGTAAAGGCTTCCCATCATCAGGTAGAGTGGCTATCTCTGAAGCAAGACAGAATTTAGGTAAATATAAAACCTTCTCTATTCATGATTAATTCATGATCTTGCGCCACCACCACTGAGCAATGCGTGTCATTCTGCAGAGACACTGTCAGGGAGACCAGGACATCAGTCAGAGGTGACCGCTTGGATTAATTTAGGAAAAACGGCATTTGGACAGTCAGCATTTTTAGTCCGAGCAGCAGATTAATTGGAACTGAGGGCCATAGCGGATAATGTAAACTTCAGTATTTTTAAAACACTTGAAACATGGCTCAAGACAAAGCAATCGTTTCATCATGGACTGAACCCTTGGTATGGAACCAACTGTTTTCCAAAATGGAGACTATCCTAATGCACAATATTTTGTATGCCGTTATATGTGATATACCGTAAATGTTGCGAAGACCTATATCTGCAGTAACTGATGTGATGTGTGAAAGATGCGCACCAAAAGTTGCACTCGAAATGTTGAAAACGAGCACCGTACCTTTACATACGGGTTCAGCGAGCCGGCTTCTTGTCCAAAAACTAAATAAACGACTAACCAATAAACCAACAGCTCTCCAAAAGGTGAAAACTGGACCAAGATCGGGACCTTCTCAAACAAGAACAGCACAGTAGGTCATAAAGTGAGAGGGTTGAGTCAACGTTCAGTCAGTCCAGTTGCTGTATAATCACACATCCAGTTTTCTGGTAGTATCACTTTCAACTCCCTGCTATTCTTCCTGTGGCGCAGCCGCAGGCCTTGTGCACAGGGATAAACATAGCATTTGAGAATGACAAGCATTTGGGCCAATTAAGACTGGAAATCAAAGAAAATTATACGTCATTATGTTCATTCCTCTGGCTGACCGTTTCTACCTTATTATATCCCTCTCTTTCAGAAAACGTGTACAGTTTGATTCTGAAGTTTGTTCCTTTCTTGAAATGACAAAGATTCACTTTCAAGCATCTGGAAACAGAGTGTCTGAGCATAAACTTCTGGAGCGAGGGTTTTAAATTACAGAGCAACAGTTTGGACCATCTGTGAGACGCATGCAGAGATATCTGAATCCAGCATCACATACTCTTAAAATTTAGCAAAATATTAACTTCAGAGACTTGGAAAAGGCAAGAGAAGATCATTTAATCAAATGTTCATTTCTTCCGGAGGATAATAAATA